TATTAATAACTAACCTCGTATTGTGGATGAATAATCTCAGTTGTTCTCCTGACTGAAGTTTGGCCCGTGTATAGCATCCTGCTATGCGATTGCATTTGTTCCCAACCACCAGAATCCCTCACGTTAACTTTTATCGAGTGGGAAAAAAAGTTGGCATTCATCCTCCAGCTTCACTGTGCTAATGTTATGCTAACATAGCTGTGTCGCTAGCAATCACGTAGCACAACATTATATACCAGGTAGTCCAACTTCAGTAACCCTGCAAACGCCACTGCTGTTTAGTTTTCTGTCTTCATTTATGTTGGAAGTGGTAACAGAGCTGTACGTTTGAATTAGTTTCAAAAATCTCTCAGTCAGAACTTGGTATGAAATGTTTTGGTGGAAACTAGCGAGCTAACTTCCTGCTAACTTCTAACTCCATTAAATGTAATAAATTCTGTTTTCATGGATGCCTGGATGTTAAACTTAATTGTTACACCTGGTAAAGCAGCAACGCTGATGATTTAATTAAAGATGAAAGAATTTAGACCGTTTTTAACTCTGTGTTCGTTTGACTTTGGGACCTGAAGTAGACGGAGTTTTGGACCCAGATTACTCCGCGAAGCTCCTCACTACGGCCGCCGTAATGCTCTAACAATCCATCAAGCAGTGCGGCTTACCAAAGTTGTACTAAAACATTTTTTAACAGATTTCTGCCCAAATCGGTTCGAGGTCAGTAAGCACAACCAGAATTCATACATAAGGCACACTCTCGATTTTTGAGAAAATTAAAGGATTTTAAGTGTGCCTTATAGTGTGGAAAATATGTTATACAGCAGAAAATAATATATCGCGATATATATTGTTACCGCACGTGCTTCAAATTATACCGCGATATGGATTTTAGGCCATATCGCCCAGCCCTAGGTGAGACTAACAAAAATACCGAAGGCAGAGCTGAAGATGTTCAGAATTTAATTGAAAGTGAACAAGATGAGAAATGAGTACGTCAGAAGAACAGCTCAGGTTGAGCAGTTTGAAGACAAAGTTAAGGGAGACAAGGTTGACGTTGTTTTTAGATGTGCAGAGTGGGATGGTGGGTATACTGGCCAAAGGATATATGGATATAGTGAAGGAAGATATGCAGAGGTTTGATGTGATAGAGGATGATGTTATGGATAGGGTGAGGCACAATATCTGCTGGGGCGAGGGAGCATCTGGGACAAGAAGCAAGCAAATTTATTATTTTGGCTCTGATCTGATCAGATCTAATCTCATAAAAATGTTAGCGAGTACCCAGAGCAGAATATTACACTTAGTAAAGAATAGTAATGTTGGGGGTTTTAAGCATAGCATCAAGTGCCATTTGCAGCTTGCGGCTCCTAAATCGTGAAGCAGCTTGACTTTTCACATTAGGACATCATCTGCATCAGATATTAAAAAAATTTTACAGAATAAATTTGACTTTAATTGCTAATAAATTAGCAATATTAGCTATCAAGACATTGGTAGCTTGTTGGTTTCCATGAATTGGCTACTTTGGGCATCTGTCACAAGCAAAAACAGTGAAAAACAATTTAAAGTTGCGTCTTTGGCAAGATAATTGTGAGGTCATACTTATCTGTTTTAATTCCTGACTGCATCAAAACTATAAGGATTCACTTAGTAAACCCAAGATAAAAAGCAAAGGAGCTAAACAATTTGACAACCCTTAAGCTTAAACTGGAAAATAACCGAGAGCTTATATAAATAACCCCTTTCATATTCTACGTAGTCACCTGACTTTTAAGTTAATTTTTGTTGTTCATGTTTCTATGGAGAATGTGTGATTTCCAGTTTAAAGATAAAGTGTTTGTGTACTGACTGAATGCTATGCATGCTATGTGTGTTCCTGGGTGTGTGAGAACATGCTACTTTACAATTATATAGTGTGTGTGTGTGTGTGTGTGTGTGTGTGTGTGTGTGTGTGT